GTAATTTCTTCGTGATTTGGGGGAAATGAGGAAAAAGAAAATAGAAATTAGTGCCTGGGAGAGATGGGGATGGACTAATGTTTCGATAGACGGGTCGTTTTTCGTGTGAAATTAATCCTCTGGAATTTGGGGTTTTCGGATAATTTGAAAGTCCGTAGTGTGGGGAGAGGTGGTCAGACTGCAGCTTCTAAATTAAGACTTTAGTGAGGCATGCCGTTCATGTTCATTTTCTTACGTGGCATTCCGTGTTTTGCCTCTGGTACAGTTTAGTTTTGGGTTTTGGGGGTTTTTTAAAATGAGATTTTGTTTTAAAATTTGCGTTTTGCCGAAAAAAATAACTGGCAGAAAATGCAGTCATAAAATGAATGACATAGAAAGGGCTTGAAACGAGATTTAGATACGCTGTTGAGTGATATCACTTGTAAAAAAAAATGCGCGTTTTTCTGACTGGGGGCGGGGGCGGGAAACTAGACTCCTTGCCTCGCTGAGCGTTTGGGGTATACTTGGTTGGTGGCGAGGTGAGGCATAATCTATTTTTTAAAACTGCTTTCAGCCTTTTCAGAATTGCTTTATTCCCTGATAATTTTTATAATTAGAAAAGCGAAATGATGTCGAGAGAGCATACCTATTTTATTCAAACACATAGGCGCGTGAACACACACAAGTACAAACAGAGGTAAGTGCTCTCATAACCCATTTCTTTTACTGAGAGAGGATTTTTTTTCTGGATCCAGTGAAGCAAGGAACCAAGTTGTGTACACGACAGCCCTGCGTGGATCCTGCTTGTGAGGGCTCCTGTCAGGCCACAGGTACAGCAGCAGTGTTCAGCAAGAGCCACTATTTGGTTTTTTGGGTTTTTTTGTTTGTTTGTTTGTTTGTTTTGGTTTTTTGTTTGTTTTTTGTATTATCTCAGTTGAAAAGTGGGATGGGGGACTGGATTTATTTCTCTAAGCAGTGTTTAAAGTATGATGCGGCAGGATACTTCAATCCTGTGGTATGCTACATACAGCTGCTGGCAAATAAAAGTATGACGCTCTAGTGATTTGAAAAGCTGCCTGCGAAGTAGAAGTCAGTGAAAAAAAAGTAAGCTTAGAATGACAAGCAGTGTTTTAAGTTGTTTAAGAAGAAAAAATATAATTAATGAAATGTGTGTCATCAATCAGAAAAAAGGGGGCAGCCTACTAATGGTATTTTTAGGGGGTGGAGATAGAAGTGGTCTTACTAGCTCTATTTTAAAATAGCCTCTTGGTGATGATTATTGTTGTTTGAGACAGGCTCACCTGGAACTATGTAGTTCCGGGCTACCTTTGTGGCAATCCTCATGCCTCAGACCACTGTATGATGGAATACAGGCATATGCAAACATGCTGGATTTAAAATACGCTTTCATTTCTATTTAGTCATTTTCTAGTGATATCAGAAAATAAGCCTTGAAATAAAATGCTTCAATTGGGGGAAAAATAGAATTTGAAACAATGCATCAATGAACTGAACTGGCTGCAAGGCATGGTGTTTTACATCTGTAATCTGAGCATTCACTAATCTAAGGCAGGAGAATGGCCTTGAATTTCCAAAGCTTGGGAATGCATAGTGATTTCTAGAACAGCCTGGGTTGCAGAGCAGTTCTTTGATGCAAAGAACCAAAACCAAATCACAGTGAAAAATCTGGCTTGTAATACTATGGATTCATGTGTGTATCTAAAAATATGTAAGGTATATAGGCAATTATTACTAGATTTATCTTTCCAAAATTATAATTTTTGTTGCTTCCTCATATTTTATATTTTTGGTAGGCATGAAATTTCTTTTACAGTCCAGAACTTTGGAGGTGGGGACATTTGGATTCCACCTTTTGTGCAGTGCACAACAAAGCTCTGATTTTCAGTCTGGTATATTCTAGAAGCTTGAGAAAGCTGCTGGCTGGCAGGATGTAGTTCCCACCTTTCTCCAAGGACACGGTAGTGATAGTTCAGCTTCTGGACACAAGATGGCGCTTGCCAGATAGCCTAATTTTTCTCCAGACAAGTGTTTTTATAAAGTAAGCAAACAAAACAATGAAATACACTTTGTATTAGTAAAGTGTAAGACAGCATGTAGTATATAATTGAAATTCATTGGAAAAAGTGTTGTGTAAGGAAGACAAAGCCCCATTTAAGATTAAGATTGGTGTAAAGGTTCTAAACATTTAACAAATGAAGTGCATACAGTTTGGCCCACAGTAGACAGAAAGCTACTGTTATTTCCATCCTCTTCAATCTCTGTTACCAAAATGGCATGCCTACAAGTGTTTTGTTAGGACAATTTATTTACACTTTTTAGAAACCCATTTTATTGGTTTGATTATCTGTTCCTTTTTTGACACAGCCTCAATTTGCATGTGACGTGTACAGTGTACCTGTGCTCCATTTGAATCCTAGAAAGGCAGAAGTGTCCAGCAGAGTAAAGGCTTTGCTGGGAACACAACTGGAGTGAGAGTCAAAGCAGCTGGATCACAGGGCCAGACCACCACAGTTCACGTGACTGAGGGTAAGAATCTTCCCATTTCATAAACAATTTCACGTTAAAAGCATATGAAGTTGAAGATGTAGAGTATGGGTTGTTTCTGGTTTGGTAGCCATGGCATATCAAATTTAAAACTATACTTTGTAATGCTGGGAAAGAAATAACTATAGATTGTTCTTCCATTCTGATGATTTTTCTTTTTAACTTTATTATGATACAAAAACCATTGGCCTTCAGTAGGAGCCATGATTTGAATTTGCATGTTTTCCTAGACCTGTAGTACTCAACTGTGTCAATCCTGGGTAGCAGCAGTGAGCCTCAGCTTTGACATGGCCTCACTTACTATCACATCTGCAAGTGATATAGGCAGTATACCTGTGATCTGTTTGAGTCCTAGAAAGGAGTGCAACTGCAGAAGTGTCCAGCAGAGTAAGGGCTTTGCTGGGAACACAGCTGGAGTGAGAATCAAGACAGCTTTTAGTCAGCCATGTGGTAATGGCAGGAAACACATAAAACTGGTGAAGTAACTGTTCCAATGTTTTTTGTCTGCTTGTTTGCTTGTTTACTTTGTGTATGCAGGAGTATGAGGTATGTCTGTGAAACACGTGTGTGCGATGCCCTTAAAGATCAAAGAAGGGCGATGGAACCTGGGCACAAGAGTTACAGATGGTTTGTGAACCACCACGTGGCTGCAGGTTTCAAGCTCTGAAAGAGAAGCCAGTGCTCTTAACCCTGAGTCATCCCTTCAGCACACTGCATTTTTTTTGAGATAAGGTCTTAGTACAGGCTGGCCTGATACTGGCTATGTAGACCAGATTGGTCTAGAATTTGTAGCTGTCTTCTAGTCTTTTCTTCCCTGGAATTATTAACTACCATAGCCATCTCTACCAGTGATTCTAGAGTGTGTGTTCGTGTGTGTGTGTGTGTGTGTGTGTGTGTGTGTGTGTGTGTGTTGTCTGTCTGTCTGTCTGTCTGTCTGTATGTATGTATGTATGTATGTATCCCAGTGTGTCCACAGAATACCTCAAATGCAGTTTAACTGATATTTTTAAGCTATGATGAATTTGCTTGTGTATGATTCTATTACAGTTTGTGGAAAAATGTATGTGTTAAAGCTCTATAATGAAATTAAGCAAATGTTCACAATGATAGCTACTTCTGGCAGACTGCCATATCCAAGCCAACAACATGACTTGTAAGAGACTCTTGGAAAGAATCCTGATAATAAGTGGCCATGTCAGTCATTCCAAACCTCTGACTGTCATCCTCTTAATGATAGGTTATTGTATTATCTGGGCCAGTAGAGGAGACACAGACCCTGAATTCTGTTTGGCTGATAGGGGTAGATAAAACAGCACTGATAACTTAGGTGAGTTCAAAGAAGAGTCCTTAGGAGAAACTTTGAAAGATCCCAGAGACCCTCCCCCAGAGGAAATAGTACCCTTGGTGTTCTCCTTGCCCATCCCATCTCTCTTTGTCACCAGCACACATACTAATTCCTTTTTTTTTTTGGTTTTTCAAGACAGGGTTTCTCTGTGGCTTTGGAGCCTGTCCTGGAACTAGCTCTTGTAGACCAGGCTGGCCTCGAACTCACAGAGATCCGCCTGCCTCTGCCTCCCTAGTGCTGGGATTAAAGGCGTGCGTCACCAACGCCCGGCTTCATACTAATTCCTTTTATACAGTGGCTACAATAAGAACTGTGTACTGGACCATTATTAAAGTGCCATTTTGAAATAATTTAATAATTTCCCAATCTTATGTCTTGACCCGGTGCAAGCTAATTTTGTCTTTAGTTAATCTTTTAAGTTTTATTTAGATATGTGTATGTATGTGTGACTGTGTGACTGTGTGTGCGTGTGCGTGCGTGCGTGCGTGCGTGTGTATACCTCTCTGTGTGGTTACCTGTGGAGGCCAAAAAAAAAGAGTGTTGAGTCTCCTGAATCTGGAATTATAGGTGGTTGTGAGCCACCTAATGTAGGTGCTAGGAACTGAAATCAAGTCCTCTGAAAGAGAAGCAAGCACTATAAACTACTGAACCATTCCATCAGCCCCCATCTTTCTCTATTTTTAATGAACATCTTGAAGTGTCATGCAATTCAAATTATTTATTCAGGCTTTTTACTTTATTGAATTGTGTATATGTTCATGGTGGGAGCAGTACATGCTTGTTTGTGCATTTGTATATGTGGAGGGCAGAGGTCTTCATTGGGTGTCTTCCTCAATCACTCTTCAGTTTTTGTTTGTTTTTTGTTTTTTGTTTTGTTTTTTTTTTTGAGACAAGATACTTTACTGAACCTGTAGTTCCCTTGACTTGACTAGAGTGACTGGCCAGCAAGCTCTAAGAATCCTCCTGCCTGTGTTCCCAGACTTCGATGGCAGGCACAAGCCACTGTGTCTGGCTTTTACATAGGTACTTGGAATAAACTCAGGTCTTCACAATGTGGCAAGCACATTACTAACTGTAATAGTTTCCCAATCCTTTATTCAAGCTCATTTCTAAGTTTTTGAAAACACTTGAGTAAGCTGCCTCTAAAATGATCGCTTTTCTTGGTAAGCCACATAGTCAAACATAATCCACTGTGACCTAAGGACTTTTGTGGATGACTGAAAGCTCTCTGATTGGTTTCTTGCCCAAATCTAAATGTATTGATGAATCTGGTCCATATTTAAGTCATCTACAGTTAATACTGAACTACTTTACCTGTCATTGTCTACATGGTGTTACTCACTTAGGCTGCTACTGAGCCGCAAAAGACACACTTGGATTATACTTTGATATTGGGTGGTACAAGTTGCCCATTCAGCCTGCTAGTACAGTTAGAACTGGGTTCCAAAACCCATGTCTTTACACATTGTATCGGAGGGCCCTGCCTCAATGCCTACCTGAGAAAATTAATATTTAAGTATTTGAAATGTAACAGTCTCTCATATGGCCTCACTAAAATATGCTAGATAAGTACAATGAATCTGGGTGATAAAAATAAGCTTGGTCATGCCTAGATCTTTTCCTATACATTCTTTCAGAGAATGGCAGGCATCGTAGGGAATGTTTCTTTTTCTTTACACTTCTACAAGTGGATCCTGGACAAGTCTTTCTGTCTGTTACTTCACAAAAGAACAGCACAGCTTACTTGTCTGGACTTATGCTAGAGCTTTGTTTGTGTATGTGTTGTGATAATTTTTATGAGGTCCTTGTTTCCTTTTCTTTGTTTTTATTCTCCAGGAAATGATTCCCATTATGCAATCTACAGCCTTAACTCTCAGTAGTCTTATCTATTAGCATTCCATAGGTTTTAATAGTAATTGGGAAATACAGAACTGTTTGTTCTCTTGATGTTCCTTTTTTAAAGCTGATATGTCATGTCACATACATACATTTGACCAAAGATTACAGAGTCTTTTTCTCTTTGCCAATGATACAGTGCAGCTTTGCATTTTATTCCATTTGGGATACTCTGTTTACTGTCAAGTTCTTTTGTTATTTATGTGTACCTCTGTCTTAAGGGTAACTAAATAGTTTGCTTGACCATAAAATATCTAAAATTAATTTTTCTATTTATTTATTCAATTAGTTTATCCCCCAACTCAATCACAGTTTTTCCTCCCTACTCCCCTCCCAGTCTTGCTCCATCCTAACAGTGGGAGATAGAGCTGTCTCTGATGCTGTTACCTGCTTTTGGGACCATTTCCTCCTAGTGGGTTGCCTCTTCTAGCCTCAATAAGGCAGGGAGGGTCTAGCCTTACTGCAACTTGATATGCCATGGCTGGCTGATACACATGAGAGGCCTGCCCTTTTCCAAAATCAATTCTTTAATCATGGCATGGGAGGCCTTCAGTGTGATTAAAGTTGTTCCAAAGAGAATACATTTCATAAGCTATAGTGTACTAGAATCATCAAGTTTCTTGACATTTGTCTTTTGCTAACTCAATGGAAGAACTAGTCAGCAAAGACATGAACTTTTACAAGGTAAGTTATCTGATCACATCAAAAGCTACATGTCTTAGAAGTTCCCAAATGCTTTAAAACAAGTTAACAAGGTAATAAAACTATTATAGTGGGTTAAAATAATTTAATTTCTAATATTTTAGGGGTTATTTAAAAGGATATTTTATACTTCTGGTACACACAGCTTTCCTTGGTATTCAGTTAATCCAAAGAAAAACGTAAACTCTGTATTCCCAGTACTCTCAGAGTGAAATATAAATGTCTTTTATGGGCTATATTCTGGTAGATTGATGCTATCTTCATTTGAAGACTCACATTTGTTGAAGTATAATTTGCATAGAGTTAAATTAATTCTGGTTTTTGAACTTTTATTCTTCTCTCATACATTACATCTTGACTATAGTTTTCAGTCCCTTCACTCCTCCCAAACCCTCCCAGTCCTCCAGAACAACTCCTCCTCTGTTTTTCTTAAAAATAAAAAGAGCAGGCCTCCCAAGGATATTCACCAAACATGGTCTAACAAGATACAATTAAGACTGCGCACATCCCCTCACATTAAGGTGGGACAAGGAAAACGAGTAGGAGGAAAAGTGTACCAAGAGCAGGCAAAAGAGTCACACCCCCCCCACTCCTACTTTTGGGAATTTCACAAGAACATCAATCTACACAACCATAAAACATATGCAGAGGACAGGGTCCAGGATTGTTGCTTCAATTCTCTGTGAGTCTCTATAAGCACTTCTTAGTTGATGCCTCTGTGATGTGCTCTCCTGATTCCTAGTCCCCTTTGGCTCCTACAGTCCTTCCTCCTCCATTTCTGTGGGGGTTCCCCAGCTCTGCCTAGTGTTTGGTTGAATTCACTCTTTTTAAACTGTACATCATGGTGAGTTTTGACAAACTTAGTCATAAAACGATACAGATGGGCTATGGAATGTTTTCTTATGTCCAAAATATGGTATTTAGACCTCAGTGTATTCAGTAAACTGTCTCTATCTCACTTCCTGACAAGCAGCAAGTTTATTTCTATCCCTATGGATTTTCTTTTCCCAGGATTCCACATACATGGAATCCAAAAGTA